GGAAGTCCAAACCTCTAGGTTGAAGTCACCTAATGAGCAGCAACAGATCCTGAATGTCTGAGTCCTCATTGGAGCAACCACCGGTAAACCCTTCTAACAGTGATCTTGGTATACTAACAACTTTACACAGATTTATGTGTGTTGTGCGGTTACATGGGGATCTGACACAAAAGTAACAGTAAATGTCAAATATGAATAACCTATCATTTCTTATGTTGAATAAATTTATCTCCTTAATAATTACTATGTGCTTATAATATATTCTTACATTTCCAAGAATATCAGCATTTTTAGATCACCAAGCCACTCCTTACATCTGCTGGAAATCTAGAAAATATTCTCAGCATTTTTGCAGAATGCTAGTTTAGGAGAAAGGCTAGTCCTATGTTTATACCAAAGTTAATTTTGGAAACAGAGTGACAGAATCATAATGAGCTTACTCTGCGGTTTCCCCACATAAATGTTAAATTATCACCAGCTATTCACTATATTTTATTTTATTTTCCATATGTACCAGTGCACCATAGATATATTGTTTCAGGTGTGAAGGCCATTAAAGGAAGGAGGAGTGCTTCACTCTCTCCTGAGAACCACATATTTCACTTCAACTTATTTTAAATCATAAGATTTTCAGCAAGAAATAGGGTATATTGAGGAAGATTTCTTTTAAAATCATTAATATGTTATTTTATTTATGTTGTATGAACTTGTGTAAATATGTGTGTGCCTGGGTACACATGCAGAACTCAGAGGACAAGTTGTGGGTTCTCTCCTTCCATCATGTGGTTATCAGGGATCTAATGCAGATCTCCAGATTTGGTGAGAAGTGCCTCTATCCACTGAGCCACCTTGCCAGACTGAGAGGATTTATCACAAGGGAATTATCTTAATATTTATCACTGAATCGGGACAAGAAAAGGGAGAGTAAGTGGGAAGGAGAAAAGGAAGGTAAGAACACAGAGAGAGAGAAAGAAAGAGAGGAAGAGGAGGAAGGTGTGGGAAACAAAAACAGTCGAAAGGGTAGGAGGACAGAAACAAAAGCAGATAGAGCTGGGACAAGCATTGATATAGCAACAAACCTGGAAAACAATTTATGCCCTGGATTTCCAATAACACAAAACTTCAGAGAGAGAGAGAGAGAGAGAGAGAGAGAGAGAGAGAGAGGCCTCAAGTCCCTATGTCTGTGATCTAGGATTAGGTTCACTTTTGAGTCAATTCATAAAGCACAGCACAGCAGAAGCTTGTGTATCACCCAGGGACCAGATGGAGCCCTTGTTGTAGCTAATACTTTCTTTCATTTGCAGAAGAGTTCTAGTGTAATTCTTATTTTTATAAAGTTTATTGAAAACAAGCAAAAAATATAAATAGGGAGGCTTTCATTAGTTGGGCTCCCTAAACATTTCACCTGTGATATTTACACAGTGAAATGTTTCTTCAATATTATTCTTAGTTTACATTTTCCCTAATGTGGATGCTTCGCTCAGGTACTTGAAATTCTGTGTGGGTTTTCTGCACCTGATTTACCATGACAGTTGCCTTGCCGAGAAAGAAAGGGGTGTCATTTCATGAAGACAGAGCCACGGCAAGTTTCCAGGAGAGATCAGTTTGGCCAGCTGTAGTTTTATCAGCTTTAAAAGAGAAAAGTACATCTGGCACACTAGAAATGTTCAGGAATTTGTAAGATATTAGACTTTTCTAAAACTACTTTCAAAACGCTATTCACAGTATAAGACAGAAAAGAGCAAAAAAAAAAAATTCTGTAGATTTGTTCCTGATTAAAGAACCCTAGGATATTTGTGGTAGTTTGAATGTAATTGGCCCCCACTTCCATAGGGACTGGCATTATTAGGAGGTGTGGCTTTCTTGGAGTGGGTATGACCTTGTTGGAGGAAGTGTGTCACTGTAGGAACAGACTTTGAGGTTTTATACACTCAGGATACTGGCCAGTGTGTCAATCAACTTCCTGTTTCCTACGAGGTGTGGGACACTTGGCTATTTCTCCAGCGCAATGCCGGCCTGCATGCTGCCATGCTCCTTGTCACAATAGACTGAACTATAAGAGAGTCCCCTCAATTAAATATTTTCTTTTTTTTTTTTTTTACCAACAAGACTTTTTATTAGTTGACTTTTATATCTTAATTTAACCAATTTCTAGTAATCTGTGTATCTCCCTGAGGCTGTGGCTTACTGGATAATTTTTTTTCATTTTTTTTTATTTTATTGAGAATAAGAAAAAAAAAGTTTCCGCCTCCTCTTAAGAGTTGCCGTGGTCATGGTATCTCCTCACAGCAATAGTAAACCCTAAGACCATATTCTTAAAACTACCGAAACACCGGTGCATAAGGCACTTTTCTCTTGCTGTGAGGAAATGCTAGGGCCAAAAGCAACTTCAAGGATAGAAGGGTTTACTTTGACTCATGCTTCCTGTAGGACAGAATCCCTTGTAGTGGGAAAGGCAGGGCACGCTGGCAAAGCAGGAAGCTGGCTGACCATATTTTCATATATCAATACAAAGCAGAAAAAGAATAAAAAGTGGCGAGAGGCTATAATATCTCAAAGTCCAACCCTGGCATGCATTCCCTCCAACAGGACTCCACTTCCTAAAGGTCTCATGGCATCCCCAAATAGCACCACCAACTGGGGAACACATATGTCAATCACAAGTCTAAGAGGCACATTCAGTCTTTAAAGCACCACAATTAGCGAGAGTGAAAACTATGAACGTATAAGATCTGTCAAATGTCTAACAAAAGAAAAGATCGATGTAAGGACCTACGTAGTCAAGCAGTTTATAGTGATTAAATTAAATCCTAAACTAAAAAGCGAGAGGTGTTGGCATTTTTGAGTGTGAAGACGGAGGAAGGCTTAGCTGTGACAAGATTCCACTCTGCAAACACTCTTGGCTATTTGAAGACTTACAATAATATCCAGCAGCGATATCTAAAGTGTACCGAGAGCTTTCTATGTGGCAGTAAGTGCTTTTCTGTCATTTAAGCTATGTGATCCTCTCAGTAATGTCAATAATCAAGTGTCCCCATCCCAGTTGGTAAAGAAAGAGATCCAGGAATGGAGACAGTAAGTCTCTCATCAAAGGCAAGAGCAGTGATGCTCAAAACCCAGATTTGAGATGTGGATCCTGGGGCCTGCAGCCTGGGCTCTGTGCATGGAGCCTCCTCCAGCCATAGCAACTCAAAATGCACAGCACTCTCCATGAACCAGGCACATAAATGTTTCCCACATTGGGCCTCTTAGAAAGTCTAACAGCTGAGTGTTTGGTATCCAATTTAAACTCTAGAAAATGAAGTCACAGCAAGTTCAAGATTAGAACCTGTGCTTTTATCTTGTGTTTCCATCATCTCTTCTCCCAACTTTGCTGAAGTTTGGACCCATAAAGTGCCTCATAGCAAAATTTACTGATCATAGTTTAAGAAGTTAGAATAGAGACTTGAGAAGTTTTGCTCAGTGTGGGTGTTCAATACATTTTATTGAATAAGTTATTGGTTGAAGAAAGGCAAAACAAGTCAAGTGTCAGTTTTTGTTATTCTAACCTCTCTTGAAGGTCAGCATGTATTATAAAATACAAACTTTATTATTCTATTTTGAGACAGGATCTCTCCCCTCTAAGACCAGGCTAGCCAAGAACTAAACATGTTGCCTAGGCTGTCCTTAAACTCATAGTCTGTCTTAGCCTCTGGAGCACTGGGATTCACAGGTATGAAACACAGCACCAGGCTTTAAAGTTACACTTTAGAAAAACCACGGCCAAACACTGTTTTAGAAAATGCTTTGTTTGGAGCCAGAGTTCACTGTCTCAGATGTGCTTGCAAAATTTTTCATTTGAGTTCTCATACTTCAGAAAGGTCTACTTAAGTCATATCGGTGGGATTTCCAGCTCGACTATGTTTTCATTAAAACAGCGATGCCTGTATCAGCACAGGACCCTGTTCTGTTCTAAGGAGACTCTGAACCCCCTCTCAGTTTCTTCAGTTGTAACTTGGTGCAGCCTTACTTGAACCCGGACTATCACATTTAAAACGCATTTCATTCTGCTTTTCCCACAACTATGACCCCTCTAGATGCTGTTGAAGACTGTAAGACTAGCTGCTGTAAAATCCTCCTCATTGATATAACTACTGAGACCTCATCAGATAAAGAGACCTCTGCCCATCTCCCTGCTTCTCTTACAGATGCTAACACTTCGTCTCAGAATGATCTTGTCTCAGATCACCGTTTAGGAAATGTGACTTGCTTTTCCACCCGTGGACTACAGGGGGCAGTATGACTTGTGTGAGAACATGGTCTGCAATGTGCCGTGTGCTCAATGTTCTTACTGAGTTATGTGTGATGTGAATTATGGCTATCTTTTTTAAAAACAACTTTCTGTTTGCTAAGCATATGACAGTAAATTGGTTACATCTGTTGTTCTTGTTGCTTCATAAATTATCGTTTGAAAGAATTTGTTATTATAACATCTTAACTTTTATCCAAACTCTCATCCTAAAGGAGTCTGGCTTTCAATTAAAGAAAGATGGCTTTTCGGTCACTGTCATGCCGAACTTAAGTTCTGTTTTATCATCTCGAAATGCATCAGTAAATATGCTCTTGGTAACAACTTTGAGTAGTCCTAACTTGTATTGTTCATTAGAGAAACTCTTCTCTCAGTAGATACATTTTGTCCAAATGTAACTGGGAATTAATTTGAGACAAAATAGATGGACATAGTAGTGCTCCTAATGCTTTCTTCTCATTGCAGCAGCGCAGTTAGCCAAAGCGTACTCTGTTTTTCCACTCATCCACAGTGACCCCACACTGGACTGAGAGAGAGAGAGACAGAGACAGAGACAGAGACAGAGACAGAGAGACAGAGAGAGACAGAGAGAGACAGAGAGACAGAGAGAGACAGAGAGAGAGAGAGAGAAATGCATTGTGGTAACTTCCTTCGATAGCCCTAAAAACCACGTCTTCTCCTCATGATCGCTATTGTTTTTTTTTATTTATAGGGACCGAGCCCCTTTCATTTTTACTTCAGAGATGGAGTATTTTATTACCGAGGGTGGAAAAAATACACAGCATTTTCAAGACTTTGTGGAGCTTTGCTGCAGAGCTTATAACATTGTCAGGAAACACAGCCAGCTGATCCTGAGCCTTCTGGAAATGGTAAGTCCCTTGGAGAAATAACAACAGTCCCGAGCTTCATTCGTGTCTCCTCCAGTGATCCATTTCTCCTAATGGCTTGGACTTCCCCCAAAGAGCTTTAGAGATGGCTCAGAGGTTAAGAGCACTGACTGCTCTTCCAGAGGTCCTGAGTTCAATTCCCAGCAACCACATGGTGGCTCACAACCATCTGTAATGATGTATGGTGCCCTCTTCTGGCCTGCAGGCATACAAGCAGACAGAATACTGTATACATAATAAATAAAAAAAAGTTCTTTAAAAAAAAAAAAAGCAAAACAGAACGGAGTGAGCAACAGAACATGCTTCTTGACAATTTAATGTTAGTTCAGCGTTGCCATCTCCGACACTGCCATCATAGGATGCATTCAGGGGAATTCCTGGCTAGTGTTGACTGAGGTTCAAGGAAAGTCATTTTTGAAATAACATCTTTGATTGCATTGTCCCCTTTCAAAAAACTACCACAAGAATATGTGATTAACATATAATGTCAACTTCACGATGAAGATGAGGCAGACTCATCCTGACTCCCTTGTCTCGATATCTATCTGCCTTTGAACACTTAACTACTATTCAGACTAATAAATGAAGAGTCAAGAATACAAACTCTGGGGTTGGAGAGATGTCACAGCAATTTAAAAGCACAAACTTCTCTTGCATAGGACCCGAGTTCAGTTCTTAGCACACTCATTGGGTGGCTCCCAAATGCCTGTAGCTCTAGCTCCAGGGATCTGATGCACTCTTCTGCAGCCAACAGGCACCTGCATGCCAATAGGCACACAACTACATACAGATACATACATATGCATTTAATTCAAAGCAAAATAAGTCTAAAAGTGTGGCTGATTAATTAGTGATTGGACTGTAGGCTGATGCATTTAGTGCCATATATCAGGTCTACTAAGCTGTGATCCTATCTTCATTGGGTCACAGAGAACTCCATGTTTCATACCAGAGCTCACTGCAAAGAGATGAGGAATAGTCATTGTAGAAAGACCTGCGGGCCTGTTTTTCATCCCACCCGGCTCCCACACAGCTATCTTTGCCCCAGAAATAACAACACACAAATTGTATTCTTTTAATCACTGCTGGCCCATTATATCTAGCCTCTTCTTGGCTAACTCTCACATCTTGACTAACCCATTTCTAATAATCTGTGTATCACCATGAAGTGGTGGCTTACCCAGAAAGATTCAGCATGTCTGACCTGGCAGCTGGCCCAGAGAGGAGAGACATGACGTCTCGGGTTGGAGAATCATGGCAACTAACTCACTTCCCTTCTTCTCAGCATTCTGTTCTGTCTACTCCACCCACCTAAGGGCTGGCCTATCAAATGAGCCAAGGCAGTTTCTTAATTAACCAATGAAATTAATAGATTAATATATGGCCTTCCCACATCAAGTCACATAGTAAAAGGGAAGAAGAACCCAATAGAAATATCTTTTGGAGAAAGATGTGGTGATTTCTTTGAGAGCATATATCCAAGGGAATCTGCTGTTGGAGAATAGCATACCACTTGTCCATCAATGTGTGATTTGGAGTTAGTCAAACACAACAGCCTTGGAGCTTTCAATTCTGCAAATAGTTATTAAGGAGACAAAATTAGTGTTTAGAGATTTTGAATGCCAGCTTGGCACTTTAATGGTTATATTCTTTGGATGTACTTATACTTAACCCTAAATATGGTTTCCTTATTAAATGAGGATAATAGCTCTTACGGAATTAATGGATACGTGACCTAGTAATGAATGCATCATATGGACCAGACATTATTCTAAAATATTAATAGATTATTTTTTATAGCTCTAGTTCATAATTAACATAAAGAACTAATGATAGTCTGCCATATAGTAGAGTTTAGTTAATTAATTCAATAATATGAGATCATGGTTAATTTAATTTAAATACTGTCAGGTTAGGGATAAATTTCAGTAGGGAAAGTGATGACCTAGCACTGCAGACAGTTGGGTGTGAGGAAACACATACATAATCCCAGAATCCCAAACAGAGAGGGAGGGGCAGGAGGACCAGAAGTTCAAGGTCATCTTCAGTCACAAAGCAACTTGAGGATAATTTGGACTGGATGAAATCCTGACTCAAAGTTCAATCAATCAATTAAAAGGTTATTTCCAATACAGCATCATACATGCATGTGAAGAATTTAAATTTGTATTAGTATTGGTTAAAGCTGAAAATTCAGTTTTTCAATTTCGCTAGTTACTTCTCCACAATTCAGATTTTTAAACGCATCCTTCTGTTTTTTTTTTTTTTTTATTGTTTGTTTGTTTGTCTTTTTGTTTTTCCTGTACTGGGAATTAAACACCAGGTCTCAGGATCTCCAAGTTAACTTTCCAACTTCAACCAGTGATTCTTATTTGTTGGTCTGTGTTCTAGATCAAAATTGTGTTAGTCTCTACTGCTTTTATAGCTGATTACATGATACAGAGAAAACTTTTTACGTACTAAATCCTCAAAATTGCCTTTATTTATATCCAGGCACTATCAATTCTAATGTCCTATTAACCTCAGGTATGATCTAGTTGGATTTTCCAAAGATCTTAATCATGAGCTCTCAAGGACCTACTATGTGTCAGGGACTGTAAATGATAAGCTAACATATAAAACCCAGAGTCTTACATTTTTCAGCTGAATAGTAATGATAAAATTTGCATATATAAGTAACAGGTGCCCAGTGTTTGTAAGTGATAATGATGCTATAGAAACTGCAGAAAAGGAGGAGTTCCATTTCCAATGACTGCTTTAACCAGACGCAGATGTTCAGAGCAAAAGCCCATAAGTAGAGTTTTATTGATCTGTTTCTCCAGTGACATTAAATTATGCTGGATGACAAGCGTGATAGGCTAATATGATTACAGATCATCTCAGTGAAGAGGAACATCTTGTTGAGACTTTTTCTTTTGTTTAAATAAACTTTCTGCATTCCTTTAAAAATACTCATCAAGGTAATTAATCATTAAATAACTTAAATGTTAGGCCAGGCTTGGTGCCTGTAATTCTAGCAGTCAGGAGGCTGAGGCAGAAAAATTACAGCTCCAAGGCTATCTTGTCTCTAACCATAAAAGCAAAAATGTAATATATTTAATTCAAAGAAAATAAAGGGGCTGGAGAGATTGCTCAGTAGTTAAGAGTGCTTGCAAAGGCGTTCAGTTCCCAGCACCTGCATCCAGCAGCAACTTATCAAGACCTGTGAATCCAGTTCTGAGGAATCTAATGCCTCTTCTGGCCTCCATGGGTACTCGCCCACAAATATGCCTCACCCCCCCACACACACTACATTTTAAAATTCAACATATAGTGCTTTAATCCTGTTTTGAAATAATTTCTCACATAAATAATGAGTCCCACCTGCCTGAGATTTAGTTGAATCTATCTTGACTTTTAGGATAAGGGTGATACATTAGCAGTTGAGGTCGTGCACGTGTGCTAAGTAATAATCTTAGATTTAGACTCTTGCAGAAACAGAAATAAGAATCAAAGGCAATGCAGACTACTTAATCCCACAGATAAATCCGCACACAATTGCAGTTGTTTCAGTTTCCGCTCATATACTTCCCACCTCCCCTGCTTTACTCCAGTGTGTATCATATGGGACTCTTTAGATAAAGTCTTCAGTGACTATTTCAGGACCACACACTCTCTAACTAAAGCTTCCTTTAAAAATTAAAACAAAGCTTAAGTTCGTGAAAACTTGCTTTCTACATACACATTTAATATGGCTTTCTTCCTCCATTCTGACTCTCATGTTGACATGTTGAAGCACGGTTCAGTGCACTACACCATGACCCAGTTACAAGCTGAGAAATGCTTGGCACAGGTCATCGAGGCTGGGTTCTGTGAATGATAGATACCCAGGATCACGAGGCATGGGCGTTCCGTGGGTTCAATGTGGAGTTAATGACCCATCCTCGGCAGAAAGCATCTTGTTGCCAGATATCTGCAGTGCTTTTGTTTTCTCATGAGGAAAGCAAGGAAAATTTAATCTATTTAATTCCCATCTCGCTTAAAAGCAACATCTGTAGGAGACCCAAGTGTGTTGCTGGCTGAGTTCACTAGCATAAAAGCCTGTATTTCGTCAGCTTTTCTCCCATTAAAGAAAATCAATATCAACTATTATGGAAGACTCTCAGAGAACACAGGGACCATTCAACCAGCTTCAAATGTTTATCACTCCCATTATTATATCAGATATTTCTCAGTGGAAATCTTTCTAGAAGGTAAGGAAGAGGCACTGCTTCCCTGAGCGAAGTTACCAAAATAGAGCAGACTTAGTAAAATAGAAACAAAAGTGCTGGCCTTAAAGACAAATGACTCATCCATCCAATGTTTGCGTCTGTTCATACCTACCTGTTACAGCTGCCTTCTCCCTTCCCCACTGCCACAGACATCCACTTCACCTGTGCACTCCAGACAAAACCTGTGAACAGACATAGTTCACTAGGATGAGCTATGGAGCCATCCATATTCTCTGGTATTACCATACTCACAGAACCTCTGCAAGGAATGGGAAAAACAAAGTGTGGATATGGGACTTGTTACCATCAGTCAGTCACATGATGTAGAGTTGGATTCATCTGGTTTGTCAGAGTCTAAATGTGTCAGCTTGTATAGATAGATGATTAGACCGAGATGAATAGACAGACAGACAGACAGATTATGGGCAGAGGAGAGAGTAAGTATACTATATATCCCCATAGAAAGTATTTGACAGAGTCCTGACAAAGCTATTGTGATTCAGAGAAATGAGAATGTAATTCAGACTCCACAGAAGTCTGTTCATAGCAAGTGGATGATCCTGTAGTAGTTAAAAAGAGAATCCTCCTCAGTTAGTTCAAAGATGTCTCTGGAACTCCTGGTACTGGAGATAGGTTTAAAAGCTAATCTAGATTTCACTTGCCATGGGAAATGTTTCTCTGGGGCAGATTTTTATATTTATTAGTCAATATTAAATTTGCAGGTAGTGGAGTTTTAAAGCCTAATAACACTCAGTGTTTTTCTAATCACTTATTCCCCCATCCATGTAGTCATGATCCATAAGATATTCATTAGATACCAATTACGTATATAGCGCCATGCTAAACAACATAAGCAGTCTCAACACTGAGTAAAGGCCCACTTTCCCTTCTCAAAGAACTTCTAATCTGACATGAACAAAACACAATCAGAACTGGAAGATGGTACTTTAAAAGAGGTTGTAAGCAGAGACAGCTCTTTCATTCCCAGCCACCCAGACCCAAATAATCACACAGAAAATATATTAAATACAACACTGCTTGACTGATGACTCATGCATATTTCTAGTTAGCTCAGAGAGAGAGAGAGAGAGAGAGAGAGAGAGAGAGAGAGAGAGAGAGAGAGAGAGAGAAAGAGAGAATATATATATATATATATCTTCCAGCCTGGCTATATTTTGTACCGCCATAGGCCAAAGCAGCTTTATTTATCAACCAATAAAAGCAACACATACACAGAAGATATCCCACATCAAGAGGTGATGTGGGAGTCCCTTCTGTGTGCTGTCATTACCATTAATGAATAAAGGAACTGCCTTGGCCTGTTGATAGGGCAGAACTTAGGTAGGCAGGGAGGACTGGACTGAATGCTTTAATGGAACTAAGTAACTGTTGTTGAGAATCAGAAAAAAAAGAGGGAATAGAATGTGGATTTCTTGCTGGTTTAGCACCACTGTAAATAAAGATAAGAGATGGGAAGAGGAGAAGAGATGAGGGTAAAGAGAATTTCCTCTTTTTTCTCTACATGGCTCCAAGTATTGACCTCTTGTGGTCATGGCTGGCAGCAAGCACTTTGACCTGATGAATCATATCACTGACCCAGAATTATTCATGTTTAGACTTGGTAACGTTGAGATGCCTAGGATTACCCAGGAGGATAGGCAAGTGATTGCAGTGTTTCCTTGGTTTCAGTTATCATCTGTGTGCTAATGACTTCTCACGCCACATCTGCAGCTGCGATGTTGAACTGTTGAATCTCTCAATGTATCCAATAATTTCTAATTTGTCCATATATTCCATGTATGTGCAAACATATATATGTGTGTGTGTGTACTCATATATATGTGTGTGTGCATAAATGTATATATATATGGTTCCCATATATACATATATATAGTTTTTTATTTTTAAGTGTGTGAGGGGTAGATAACTCTCAGAGGCCAGAGGCATTGGATCTCCTGAAGCTATAGTAACAGGAGGATGTGTTACTGTTAGCAAGTGACTTCCAGTTCTTTGCAAGAACAGCACAACTCCCAATTGTGGAGCAGTCTCTCCAGCCTCAACTATGTATATTTAAACCCAATTATGTCTCCATTGCAAACCAACTCCTAGCCCAGCCTCTTCTTTGGCTTCTTGTAACTCATCTTTAAGCAAAGAATTTTCTACCATGTCAGGCCTTGTACATGCCGACTAGCAGTCATGGATGTTGGAACACATGTTCTGAGCTTTAGTACTGCTGAAAATTCCCTACCTTGTCTCTTTCCATAGCTGTCTCTTGACATTGAGACACATGATAGTCTATGTTCCAGAAGTGTTCCTGGGATTTCTCTGTGAGTACATCAAGAACATCATGGTCTCTTCTGTTCAAGTGTCTCTCAGCCTTACTGGACAGTGGCAAGAATAGTTGCAAGTTATCTATTACTTCATCTGTCCTTCACCACAATAGATACATTTCATCTGCTATTGATAGGATTAACATCTCATTGCACAAGTGTCTTTATTCGAGGGCAGAACATTTATCATATTAGTCATAGAAGTATTGATAAAATCTCTCCCCTTTCCTCCTCCCTCTCCTCTACCCTATTCCTCATTTTCTTCTTCTACTTCTTAGAAAGAAATAATAATACAAAAATGTTTTCCTCAAAAATTTGCCTACAAGTAAAAAGAATAAAATCCCTCCCCTTTTCAACGCACTGTAAACAAAATATCTTCTTAAAGATAAGAAAAACTCACAAATTTATCCCTAGTTATTAATTTGATTTAATAATATTTGATGAATATACTTGCCACTTCTGCAGAAAAATATTGTGTTTGTAGAGAGTGAGCTGTAGAATCAGAGATGTGGCTTTCATACTGTGTCCTGCACCTCTGACCTAGACATATCACCCAACTCTTCTGCAGCACAGCCTTGTGCTCTTGAAACAAATATTATATGCATTTTGTGAACCACCATGTGATGGAAAAGATTTAGATTCTCTACAAACATGTCTGGTAATTCTGTGCTCCTTTAGATGTGAGAAAATGGAGGCTTAAGAGAGTCTAAGGAACTTTCTCAAAATTGCTCAGATTTTAAATGGTGGGCCCAAAAGTTTAGACAAGGGATTGATCATGTGGTCATGTTTTCTTCACTGATTTATGATGAGAATACAATGGAATTATTACTGTGCAAATACTTTACCAACTGTAATGGGTCTTTATGTTATTGCTGTTTATCCCCACCACTTTCTAAGAGAGGTCTAAAAGCGTGAAATTATGTCCATTCATGCAGACAAAATTAAAGGCATATTAAAACAAATGTAAATGTTTGCATATCTATCACCAGAGTGAGATGCATAAGCTTGATTTTTTTGTCTGCATTTATTCTTTCCTTTTTGATTTTGGGTTCTGTTGAAATGAAGATGCTACACGCAGGACTGCCTGAGCTAAGTGGAACTGAAGACCTGAAATATGTGTATAACAATCTGCGTCCACAAGACACAGACCTGGAGGCCACAAGTCATTTTACCAAGTAAGATCAGCTGCAAATGTGTATGGATGTTCATGTGTGTTGACATATGCTCCACTTTTGAGGTGATCTCGGGTTAGCTAGTCATTGATAGGAAGATCACATATCTAGAACCGTCTGGGTCCCCATTTTCAGAGAACAGAAGCAGAGAAGTACGTATGTCTATAAGCAGAAGGTCTTAGCTGGTGTCTCCACAGATGCCAGTGTTTGCTAACCAGCTTCTTTGTCTAGCAGATTGCTCAATAAGAGGTCATTGCAAAGAGCAAGGGCTGACATAAATAAATTGGTTGTTCTACTTGAACTCTGTCCAGAAAAACAATTTGGGAAAAGAGATTTATGAAGAGAAACAAGCCCACTACTTTCATCTACAAAACAATACAAATATTGGGATATTTAGTCAAAGACCTGTGACTGTCATCTAGCTTTAATCTATTTTTCATTAAGCAAGCCTGAGAAACACTTGTGTACTTCAAGGTGAGACTCTCACCAGAATGCAAAGAATATCAGTTAGACTCCAAGTCTCTGGACAAAGGACAGTGATTTTGATAATGGAACACCCTACAGGGATTTTTTTCTTTCTGAATGGGGAGTATAATTCTCAGACTATTTCAAGTACTCAGGAAATGTCAACTGTAGTTATCCCTGTGCACAGTTCAAGGGACGCAAACAGAACTCTTTCTTGCCTGTGACTCTTCAGAGTGACTCTTACTTGAATCTCTTAACCATTGTCAACACAGATTCCATTATTTTTCACTAGAACGTGCTCTTTGGAAGAAACATCAGCAAAATTAAAGCCCTTCCTGTGTTTGAATTTCCTCCCCCATTTTTATACTGTACAATGAAAAACATCTCCTCAATACAGGGGGCAGTGAAGCTTCAACCAGGCAGAACCTCACTCGCATCAGGAACTTCTTTCTCATGGACTTCAGCAGACAGACAGCAGGACTGGCTGTGGAACTTAAGACCAGTGACAGAATCAAAGAATGACAGACTGGGAGGGTTCTTGATTGTTGATTGTGACAGTAAACATTCGAAGGAGAAACCCGAGATGCAGAGGATTAAGTAAGACTCCTCCCTGTCATGCTCAGAAACAAGAAGAGCTCAGATCCAGCTCTCATCTTTCTGTTCCAGTATCTTTCCAGGAGTCAGTCCTGGAAACTAGATAATATTACTAAGTAACACTAAGCAGAGAGCCTGCTAAGATGAGGGATTTTGCTGCCTACCTTTTTATTATTTTTGTAATCTGCTATTAGAGATCCATTAGGAAAGACTGGTAGGAGTCCTTGTTTGTTTGGGTTTTTTTTACTCTTTAAAAAATATCCTCAGCTCAGGAGACTGGGACAAAAGAACTGTCTTGAATTCAAAGTTAGCTTAGATTTTTATAATTACTTCCAGATGAACCTGGCTACAGTGAAAGACTCTGTCTCAAAGCAGCAACTACTAAACTAAATAATTTCTTAATTAAATACACACACACACATAAAATCACAAATATTTAATACTGACTATGACTAGTCATTAGCTTTATGGCATAAGTAGCATAACTCCTTGGTTTCAGGGTCCAGGAGATCTCAAGTTATCTCAGCTTATGAGTATAGGCACCAAGGAAGGTCAACAACCTCACCTTAGCAAGAATAGAGCACACAGCACAAATCCTGAAGTTCCAGGAAGCTCAAGAGAGCACGAGGTATCATACCATAAGAGTTTAGTCCTATTAATTATTTGTAGAAGAAATGAGTTTACATGACACCCAAATAGCACCCCAATCAGGTTATTCCTTCAAAAGAGAATTCCAGTGGAATCCCATTCTTTCTGTGTACTCTGGTGTCACAGAATGATTGACATGGAAGTAGGGCATAACAGAGACTTTGGAGATAGCTGGATGGGGGTAGAAAAAGCAAAGAAAGGTAGTGTGTGGCTGGGCTGCAGGGTCTGTGTTAGAGAGAACACCTGACATTATTTGGGTATTTATGGCACAGCAGTTGACAACTAGGCCTTCCTATCATCACATAGGTGTATAGATACTAAAGTAGAGATAACAGTAGCAGGCCCTGCCCGAGGAAAACTGTGGATAGACTTGGTTAGCCAGAGTCCCATCTTGTCCATCTCTTGGTCTGTAAAGGCCATGTGATCTTGTGTATGAATGATCTTCCCAAAGTCAGTTCATTGCCTCTGTCCATTTCAAAGGGACAGGCCCAAATACAGGAAGCAGGTTCAATCCTGAAACCTCAGGGCAGTGGGCTTATCCCCCTGACCCAGTTCTGTACCTCTGCCAAGGCAATTGCACAGGTGCAGATGCTCTTCTTTCTAAACTGAATTTTCTTTTACCACTTTGTAGAAAAGCAGGTTTAGATGCGCACTCTGTTGCAGGATTAAGAGCATCTAATTATGTAAAATGGAAAAAAGTCATCCCTGTGTTTAAGAATTCTTCATCCTACCATTCCTTTTCTCTTTCTTCAAACCCTTCTGTTATTCTTAAAAAACGATGAGAGAGCGGCTACAAACGGTCCCCGGGCGGGCTGTCGGAGCCCGCCATGGGAAAGCGGCTACAGGAGGGCACGCTTCCTTGGCCCACGGTGGCGGCAGGTAACAGACACGTAAACACAGGAAATAGCCATAAGTATTTATTAAGGAAGGGGGAGAAAGAAAGACAGAGAAAAGAGATAAAAGGACAGAGGAGAGATACAAGAAGAGAGAGAGAGAGAAAAAACGCGTGCTCACGCTAAGGAAGCAGAAAGAGAGAGAGAGGGTCCCAAGATGGCGATGGGCGGGTCAGAGGTTATGGGAGTGGGCGTGGCTAGGGCAGGGACCCAAGAATATCATTCCCACATCTTGCTTTTGATAAAAAGCAAATTAGACACTTCAGTTTGAAGGAATTGGGGCGGCGAATTCTCAAGACTGCTTCCGGCTGATTGTGGGCGTCGTCTTGGGGGGGTGCGAGAGAAGGCTGGGGTGCTGGGAACATCCTGGCATAGCTGGTCTCTTTGCTTCTGACCCATGTCTGTGGCATGGGAATGTCTGGAGTCCCTAAGTTATTGGCAGAACAAAGAACAAAGTCAAATTAAGGTTAAAAGGAAAAAATTTTAGGACCAGGGAATTGAGGGGGTATCTGACCTGTTTAAGGTGGATTCTTTAATTTGGCTCCCTGGAACTCACGAGAACTCCTTGGGTTTGTGAAAACAGAAGTTTTAGACATAATATCACCTTCTAATCTGAGCGGCTCTGTCAAACTTACTCATCCCTCTCTATTACCCCTAAAGAAAATTTTTCCAGGACAGATAATTTTCAAGATGTACATTCATCCTATAGTTGTCTATTTAACTCATATATAAATTACAAAATTTTAGAGGAGGCATGAGACCTTACTTTTGATCCTACTATAATATCAGATTCTAGACAACTAATATATCACCCATGAAGCCTTGTTATTCAGCACTTATTAATCTTTCTTCTCGTGACAATACAGGATAAGCTGTTTTATGTACTATTTATTGCAATTATATTTTGTCTTGCAAAATTTCATCCTAATATTTTGTTTGGTTACATCAATTTCTCCCAAGTAAAGCAGGACAGGTGGTATATTCCAACCTGTCCTTTCCTAACAAGATCTGAATGTGGAACAAGCCCTATTTGAGGAAATGTACAAGTGACGCACCCAAGTGCAACCAAGAATATGGAAGACATTTAACAATAAGCTGACACTCACGGTAGAGCTTCTTATACATCAGGCCCTGTTGTAAATGCTTTTCATAATCTTCATTGTCATAAAAACACTATGAAATAGTAAATTTCCTAACTACATATTTAGATTAATAAAGCAAAACCCAAGAGAAATGAAACATATTGCAAAATATCGTCAACAAGAGGCACAGTCATGTGACGGCCAGGATGTAGAGCATCAGCCAGGAGTCTGTAGGCTTAAGGTTATTTCTTTCGCAAGCAGGTCCTCAGATACCTGTCAGTTCATAATCCAGGTCGTGGTTTAGTCAAAGTGTCCTTCACCCTTTGGCAGGCACTAATCCTCAAATCTGAATACACCTAATCTCAGCAAAAAATAGAAACACTTCCCCCATAATAGTATCTCTACCCACACTAAGAGCTCCTTGGATTTTTGGGGTGAAATCTACTGTAAATCATGCCTTTGGAGACTCAGGTAGGATCCTCTGCTGTGGAGACTCAGGTAGGGTTCTCTGCAGTAGAGACCCAGGTAGGATCCTCTGCAGTGGAGACTCAGGTAAGAATCCTCTTCTGTGGAGACTCAGGTAGGGTTTTCTGCAGTGGAGACTCAGGTAGGGTTTTCTGCAGTGGAGACTCAGGTAGGGTTTTCTGCGGTGGAGACTCAGGCAGGATCCTCTGCGGTGGAGACTCAGGTAGGATCCTCTGCCGTAGAGACTCAGGTAGGGTTCTCTGCAGTAGAGACCCAGGTGGGATCCTCTGTAGTGGAGACTCAGGTAGGGTTCTCTACAGTGGAGACTCAGGTAGGATCCTCTGCCATGGAGACTCAGGTGGGATCTTCTTCAGTGGAAATTCAGGTAGGGTTCTCTTCAGTGGAAACTCAGGTGGGAATCCTCTGCAGTGGAGACTCAGGTAGGGTCCTCTGCAGTGGAGACTCAGGGAAAGTTCCTCTGCAGTGACTTCCCAGAAATCACTTTTCTTCTTGTCTCATTTTTGGCCCATTCCCAGATGGATTGAAATGGTGTCTCTATTTCCTTCTTAGCAAAATCTCCCTTGAGATTCACTCTTTCTTAATCCTCAAGAGTCTTGCTAGCATATATTATCCTAAGATTTCAGCAGCACACCTTTTTATTTTTAGATCTGATGTGTCTGTTCAGATCTTCTTCAGGTTCTTTGTCCAGGATGAACAACTCGGGGACATTTCTTCGTCCTCATTTCATCTAGCACAAAGAAAAACTTGATACCAAAGGTCCAGAAACATCTATCATTTGTGCCTGTGTTTCTTTACAATACAAAAAAGAGACTGTTTCTTATGATCTATTATTTGA